TGGGAGCTACAAGTTGAGACCGAGGTGTCAGGCAGGCTGGTTTCTTCGGGGGCCTCTCTCCTTGGCTTTTAGATGGCTGTCTTTCTCTAATGTCTTTACATGCTTCTCCCTTTGTACATATCTGTGTTCAAATAGCCTCTTCTTATAAGGACAGCAGTCATACTGGATTAGGACTTACCCTCATGATCTCATTGTAACTAAGTATTTCTCTAAAAAGCCTGTCTCCAAATATAGTCACATTCTAAGGTACTAGGAGTTAGGACTTCAGCAAATGAATTTTAGGGAGAGGCAATTCAGTTTCATGGGTTGGCCATTCATAGAAGAAAGCCTCTGTTCTAGAAGCCTGAGGAGGTTTTATCTGCCACAGGTACTCCAGTACTTTCTTTGTGTCTCCTTTACTGTTTGTTTGTTGGTACACAACAGATGTAAGGAGAGACTCATTAAGCTTAAACATACCTATTTTCCTGTGAAGAACTTGCTGAGGGAAAAAAAACACCTCAGTGGATTGTGGCTAGGCTGTTTAAGGTTAGGTCCAAGGGGCAGAGCTTAGTAAAGAATATTTATCTGGAGGAAACCATGGATAGAAGAATAATGTAGGTGAGCACAAATCTGGGACCCTCAAAGGGGGTGTGGGAATTAAACTGAATAACAGAAAACCCAGTATCATGGGTGGGCCTGAGACAGTGATGTCATGAGAGAAACAATAATACTCTACTATTTTTAGTGTAGTTGGCCTTTGAATAACTTGGGGGCTAGGAGTACCAGCCCTCCAAGAAAATCTGCAGACAACTTATAGTCAACGTTCCAAATAGATGGAGGAAGGTTTCTCTATATGCTGAGTTCCACATCCTTTGATTCAACCAACCACAGATCATGTAGTACTGTAGCACTTATTATTGAAAACAATCTGCATACAAGTGGGTTTGTGCAGTTCAAACCTGTGTTGTTGAAGGGTCAACTGTATTTTTATGTGAACAAGTCCCGGTTATACTATTCCACAATATTTTGATATTCATTCCACATCACCATATGAATATTATTATTACACCTCCACATACACTTGTACAAATCAGAAAACTGATTTGGAATTAGAATATAGAGTCCAATCTCCTTAAGTACTGGGCCAAAATATCCAAAGCTGGGAATCAAAAACAGTAGATCAAGAACTTCAAAGATCTTTTGGAAAATGAAGTTAGATACCCAAATCTTCTGCTTATTGGTGAGTGGGCAAACTCATACTTCAAACAGGATTAGCACTGACAATAGACACTGACAAGGGGAAAAAAAAAATGCCCTTTCATCAGGTACTTGCTTTTGTGCCCGCATTTTGATCTTGTTAGAATGTGCTAGATACTTTCCTGTGACCCACTTTCAAAATAATTACTTGGTGGTTCCCTTTTATAAAGAGGACTTTTTTACAACTATATATTCCAATACAACGGTACATAAGACCAAGTTGTGTTATGCTTAATTTCTCTCCCATATTACTCGTAACGTTCAAGCAGGTTTTCTGTATATGCTTAAATCAATACGAAATATAGCTGAGAACTTCAGACTCAGGATATTTCAGCAGTCTTGTCACCTAAAGAAAGCAGCTTCTGGCTTGGATTTGCATACTATTTTTGTAAAGATTCAAACTCACAGTTAAGGTCAACATCTGGTTGGATTTAACATTCGCATTTGACAGTTTCATTCTCATTAAAAAAATGTTTAGCATTTTTTCAAAGCAAAAGCTGTCTTTTATTTTAATAAAAGTTTCCATATATTTGTTTTGTTACTTGAGGGGTGGATTTGTATGTTTGAACTACTCCATGCAGTTGGAATTTGAGGCCATCTCCCTATACAAGTCACTGTAGCAAAATGAAATGCAAATGAAAGGGGCACTAAGCACATTATAATGAGCAAGAGGAATTACTGTTTTTTCTTCTATTTCCATATCCTTTGGGAGAAGGAAAAAGTGGGAACATGAGTTATAGTTCTATCTGCTTTCCCTGGTAAGTTATAGTTGATAATTTAGCTATTTGAAATCCATGGGAAATATGCCAACTAATTTTTCTCAAACTAATCTTAAATTGCAAGTTTATCTATGCACGGGTAATGCTTTAGAACTTCTATAGAGTATTTTAGTGCTAAGCAATAATTACATACTCAATACATAATTTTTATTACTAGAACTGTTAAACAAATGGATCTATGATCTTACACATGTACACACACTGACACACATACATTGTTGAAGAAAGAGTAAGGGTGACTTGAAATGGAACATTCTGTATATGAAACTATGGTAAAATGTGTTCAAAATAGGTACTGTTTATTGAGCATATTATGCACACAAACTATATGTTTGTTACTTAATATGCACGCTCTCTACTATCCACAAGGATCTGAAAAGTAGACACTGTTACGGCCATTATAGCACTGATGGGATAGAGGTATAGAGGAGATAATGAGCCTACACACACTTACTTAACAGGTTTAAACCCAGTTTGTCTTACTCCCAATCCAATGCTCTGTCTATAATGGCAGTTAGACATCTGAAACAGAGTTAAGGGAGAATCTGAAAATAACTAGATGATTAGTCTGGGATCCTCAGTAAAGTTGAATGCAATTTATTGACTGCATATAGGACTTTTCGTGCCTTACATGCACGTAAGTAACCACTAAAGAGTCAGCCTTAATTGTCTTCCTCTGTGGGCACCAATTAGGAATCTTGAAATATTAATAAACTGGCTGATTTGGGAGAAATATCATTATGTATTTTCTTCCTACATATTGCTTTTAAGCATCAAACATATCATGGGCACTCAATAAATATTAAATATTTAACAGCAACCAATAAAATGAAATTATAGTAATATATTTTGCAATGGAACTCACCGTAAGATGAAGTAAAGCATGTTTTAGCACCTGACTTGAAAGCTGAGTAGATTTAGATAGCAGGGTAAGTGAATTCACCCTTCAAGGAGGCAAGAGACACTAACATGATTGTGGTAGAAAAAGTTAATAGGAGGTTACAGCAATAAAAATTTTTATTACAATTTGACAAGTGAAACGGCACCTCCTGATTTTCATATTTGTTATATTCATCTAAAACCAAAATGTAAATTAAAGGATTAATTTCTAAGCTACTGTCAATTCTTCCCCATGCCTAAACATGAAGTGAATGTTTCATTATCTATTGGTATTATCTTATTCTGAAAGAATATAAAATATGTTCCCTGAAGTTATTCCCTTTTTTTTTTTTTTTTTTTACTATTTGTGCCCTTTTTTGTACATAGGTTGAGACTTTCAGAAGAGCCAGTTGTGATAATAATTTAAAAAAAAAAAGATGAAAGATGTTAAATCACTTTATCCTTTGGCATTCATAAGTCACTGGACTGTAAAACTCAGACTCTCAGGAGTGAATACAGTTTCAGAGAGCACACTTCTGTAGATTTAAATTAGAGCTACAAGTTATTGGGGAGAAAGGCTGTGAGCAAGCTGACTTTTTTTGTTGTTGTTGTTAAGTGAGTGGAGGGAAAATGTTCTATGAAGGAGAGAAAAAGCATGTGAAATGGAGGAATCCATAGGGAAACCTTGATTTTAAACTCCTGCTCCTCAGTTCTTGTAAGATTCATGAAAAAAGCAGCACTTAAAGGACTCTTTGAGGACTCTATTCTCCTTCCTCTCTTCCATTTTTTTGCCTTTTACAATCCCTCTGAGGATAAGAGAGAATGCACTTTAAGTTACTGTTTGGGTACTCAGTCTTTCTTCTCCATCTCCTTTATTCTTCTAATAGTCTCTCAAATACTCTAAAGAAATTAGAACACATTTAACAAGTGCTCTTGTGAAGCTCAGCCACCATTTCCTCTCCTGAGCCTGTGATTAACCCATTAATGGTTCCACAAGTCTGTGTTCCAGGCCAAATACAGCAGCAGGTACACCACGCTCCAGGTCACACGTACTGGCTACTCTACCTATCCTAACAGTCATTTTTGACATGGAAAAATACCAGTACCACAGTAGGTTTCACTGAGTCTATTTACACAATAATAAAACACTGAGAAGCATCTAAAGCCCCAATATCCCATTCTAAAATATTTCCTCAGTTTTCCTAAACTCACTGCGACTAGCAATGTGCTTGGTTTCTGTCTCACACCCCTACTCACTCTGACACAGAACATCCCCTTAGAAACACATCTTTAACTTTTGGGAAATACACACAGAAGTCACCTCTTCCTGTTCTAATATATCATAGGTATAATAAGCTAAATTCCAGTTTAGGATAAGGCTTTCTCTATTTGTGTTGGTTCAGTTAGCATTCAGAAGTTTATCAGCTTTTAACATTTTACTTCGCTAAATAGTTTCGTGTAGTTCTATAGATGTATGGAGGGTTTCATGTCACAGAACAAAGTTGAATAGTACATCTTTATAGTATGCACATTTAACTAAAACTGTAGCCACTTATTTTAGTAAGATTATTCCGAACTCAAAAATAAAGAGCTGCCAGGCTCCTACTGGAGTTTCTTTAAATACTTTTGTCATTCATACATTCATATATCATAAACATCAATGACACCAAAATTAATAACAGCATTTGAGACAAAGTTTTGTATTTGGGAATATATGGAGAAAATATCATGATTATGTAAAAAGATTAAAACATATATAAGGTTAAGTGAGTTTTCAAAATCTGTTTTTCCCTTCAGTATATATTGCAGCTACAAAAGAAAATCCTCAAGAGAATTAATATGAACTTATGATAATGCAGCCTGCAGCACGGTTTTGTTTTGGTTTTGCCTGTTTTTGCTGATAATGCAATTCAAACTATACCCTACTAATCTTCAGTAAAGGAATCAGATTATTCACCTATAAACATGCAGTAATAAGGTGTCATTCTTCAGTCAATACCAACTACTTAACATCTTTCTCTTTTTTTACAGGTTTGGATCCCCAGCTCATTAGATCATTACCTGATAAATAGAAGAGGGTAATGAATTGAGAAAATGACTACGTACCTTCAGAGAAAACCTGCCCGATAACAATAATCCATTAGAAAACTGGCAATATCTTCTGATCTATTGCCCGCAAAGCTCTGACTTGATGGAGAGTTTCATTCCCTGGGCTCAGTTCTCCAGAAGAAAATCAGCACAATTTAAATATTTCTTGGAATGTGACAGCTCTCTAGATCCCCGGTTGCATTCTGTTCCCCAGGGACGGCAATCTGGTGTTCCTGTGTGCATAGAGCAGTGAAGATGAATTGAATATGCTTGAGATAAATTAGGAATGGCTAAGTTAAAATTGTCTCTGCTCCAGACTCTCTCATCTGCAGTCTGTAAGCCTGTTTTTCTGTGAAAAAGCTAGATGGCAGGCTGCCTCAGTAAGTTCTTCTTAAGCGACACAGAGCATTTTCAATGAAGAAAAATTCTCCCATTATCTAAGCTAATGTGACTGCTGCTATATCTAGTTTTTAAAGTGTCTACTGGCATGAAATTCATTTTCACCATTGCTTTCTTTCAAACTACAGTCTAGAATCCATACTATCATGCTATATACATTTCTATCTGAGAGAAACATTGTAAAGTTTTCAGCTGACATGTTAAATCACATTCCTTTTGCAGTTTTAATGACCATTTATGTACAGGAAATTTTCTACTTAGGTCCTAAAGCCATTTTATTGCATTTTATAATATGTAGAAGGTTTTGTTTTAAACTGCAGTATTTCTATATAAATAACTTTTTATTAACAATCACTTATTATAATGCAGTTCCATTAGAAGTATATATTTTTAAAACATTAGTTAAAATGCAGAAGTTATATAAAAATAAAAAAGGGAATGTAGATTCCAAATATGTGATCACAAACATAAACACTGTCTCTTTGAATAGCCTCCTAAAGAAAATAAGATGTTTCTAATAAAACCAAGCTTCATAAATTATTCCCTTCTAAATAAAAACAAGTTATTTTTAATTCTATTTCAGTTGAATGATATGTTGTGATATGAAAATTGTCCCCTAAGTCGGGTTTTTAAAAATAATTTTAATAATATTTTGGATTTGAGACTTAGAACATTCTATTTGGCATACTGACAACACATAAAACACAAAAAAGAGTTATCAAAATTTTCAGATCCAATTCTTTACTTGAATTTTCTACATGAAACAATGTTTTCATTATCAAGAAGAGCATTTAAAAGCGTCATAATCCATGAGTATATGTACATTTTTTAAAATGCTGGCTGAAAAACCCAATCTTATCTTTCTATGCCTTTCTACATGGTGTTTTATAATGGCCCATGTCTGATTGTTTGATACATAAACAAATTGTTGCTTCCGCAACAAAAACAGGGTATACACATTGTGAGGGAGGCAATGACAGTATAATCATCTGGAGACAACAGAAAAAGTAAATCAAATTTTATTTTTCCTCCATACACCCTGTAGCTAAAGCAGATCACTTTACTCAGGAAGGGGGAGGAGGGGGAAGAAAGAGGAGAAACAGAACAAAATACCACACAGCAAATGCCTCCAGCCCTTCTCCCTCTTCAGAAGTGGCAACTCTGCAGCTATTGCTGGGGAAAAACATAAGGGAGCTGGAATGAAGCAGCTTCAGCATCCAAGTTGGGAACTATAGTTACCCAGCAGATTTTCAGAGACCATGAAAGAAAAAGAAGGAAAGGAAGGGAGAAAGGAAGGAAGAAAAGAAGGGAGAGAGGGAAGAGGACTATATGTCACTCTCAACTGCCATTTTTAAAATGACCAAGGTGTTTAGTGAAGATAAATAAAGCCAAAGAAAAAGGATAAAAGCTAGTATATCTAATAACTGACAGTTGATTGAAAATCCAACTACATTGCTCAAATGTGCACTCAGCATTCCAGTTAATGTAACAGATAATTACAGTAGTGAACTAGGCAAAGCACACTTCAAGAATTTCAGGTGTCTATCTCCACTGAGATAGTCCCGATTTTACTAACACTACATTGCAGTGATAAATTCAGGACCATATGCAATTGTATATGAGTGATACCTAAACTAATCTTGGAGTATTAGGAATTGTTTCTTGTAGGAAGTAACATTTAGAAAAGGCCAAGTAAGCCTTGGTTAAAAGGGTAGGAAATATTTCCAGGCACTGAGAAGGAAGCCCTAAGGAAAACATGCATATTACGTTTGGATAAGTGAAAGTAGTTCAGTATGGCTGGACTGTAGAGTGAGGTATAAAGGGCACTGAAAGAGAAGTGTCTGGAGAGATAATGAGTTATGTATGCTATATAAAGGAGTCTGGAATTATCTTTGAAGGTTCCTAAATGGGGAAGATAAATAATCTGATTTGCATTTACAGAAAGATCACTCTTCATGTCATGCCAGTCAGGTAAAAATCATGACCACACACCGAGTTAGCCAAGCTAGACACTTAGCAGTCATACTATTTATGCCTTCTTCCTTTATTTCTGCAGTTTGTTATCCATTACTTCTACCTTCTTTAAACATCTTTTGTTATTTCTAGCTTTCATGGCATTATTTCTAGCTTTCATTATTTCTTACCTACATAATGGCAAGAATCTTTTACTTATCTACCTGTTTGAAGTAATTTTCTCCATCAGTACCTCTTATTTCAGAAGGTCTGAACAACACACTACTCTCTCAAGACTGCATCCCTGGAAACAGCTCCCACTGTGGGAACACTGGGGAGAAGGTACATTTCAAGGACAGGGAGAGGTGAGGAGCCTTGGACTGTGCAGGTCCAGCTCACAGGGCACATCCCCACAATGACCTTTCCCAACTGCTGGATCTGACTGTATAGCTTTCTCAGTGGACACTTACCCTGACCAGATTCCAAGTAAAGAAAACAAGACTAATAAACCACATTACTGGATTTTACCTCTAAAACCTCTGTACATGCTGTTCCTTCTAGTTAGAATTTCTCACCAGAACTATGTAACTAAAGAAATCCTTTATATCATGGAATATTTTTGTTAAATATTATTTTCTCTTTGAAACCATCCTGATTGCATCATAGTCAATTTTGTTCTCTGAGTTATTGCTTGGCTCTTAAGTAATGGTTTGGTGACCATCTCAATGAAGTCAATTCTCAGGTAAAATATATGTTCTCTTCTGGAATCTCTTCTTCCCTCCCCGCCCATCCCCTCTCCTCTCTTCTTCTCTCTCTCTTCCTTAACAATTTACTTCTGATTTTCATTTTCTGTATGCTCCTGTATATCTATGTCTTTTGAGCTGGTTGTGGATATTATGTCTCAGTTCTTCCCTTGTCACCTATTTTGTCCCAATACTTTCACTTACATCCTTCTACGTCTCACTTTTACTGTTTCTCTATTTTTTCCTATTTATTCTCATATTTTTCTCTGTTTATTTTTCTATTTCTATTTTCTTCATTCTTTCTGTTCTCTAGTCTTACACCATTTCTCCCTTATCTCATTCTTTCTAATCTCCTGCTATCTTTAAAAAAAAAACTATGAAACTACCTTACTTTTTAGAAGTATCCTAAAATTTTCTCCAACTGATTGACACTCTTATTTTCATATTTATTTAATTAACATGATGTAAAACTAAGTCTGGAAAGGAGTTGCTTTTGATGTGCATTGAGTAGTGTGATGTAGGTCTACATAGACATCGGCTTATAAATTTTTGTTTTCTTCTTGTTGAACTGATGGTTTTCTGCAAATTCTACTGAAAAATACTTTTTTCCCCCAAGTTACAATTTTGATTAAAATATTAAAGAAACTAAGTATACAGCAAAATTAAAATTGTCATTCAAAACTTATTGTTAATAGCAATAATCAGAAAGGAGATTTATTTATTTTGCCACTCTCTGTGATTTTTTAAATAATATATTTCTTTTAGTTTGATTTTATTTATCTGTAGCAGTCCAAAAATGTGGCTTATTTTATAACAAAATCAGTTCAACATTTATAGATTTTTAAATTTTAATAAGTTATGTATCCTTAATAATTTATTAGGATGACTGACCTTACAACACAAGGGATGGCTGCAACATGATAAAATTAAGAAATGGACACAGACATAATATCTTGCTTGTAAATAAAAGAGACATAAGTCTAGCATATAAATATTTTAGAAAGAGTATTAATTTATTTTTCAGCATAGCTTCATACAAGCATTGTATGAAGAGAAATACAGACTTACATTAAAAACATATGATAAATATTTAACTTAGGAACAAACTTTACCAATGAGGTGAAAGATTTGTATACTAAAAAAATACAAAGTGTTGCTGAAAGAAATTAAAGAAGATGCAAATCAATAGAAAGAAATCCTGTGTACATGGATTAGAATACTTCATATTGTTAAGACATCAATACTACCAAAAGCAATCTACAGATTCAATGCAATCCCTGTCAAAATCCCAATGGCTTTTTTTTTTCAAAAACAGAAAAATCTATCCTAAAGTTCATACCAAAACTCAAGGGAATGCAAATAGCCAGTCTTGAAAATAAAAATTAAAACTGGACGTCCCACAGTCATCAGAATAGTATGGTATTGGCATAAAAATAGACATTAGTAAAATAGCATACACAGCACAGAAACAAACTCTTATCTATACTGTCCACTGATTTTTGACAAGGGTATCAAGACCATGGCACCCTTGTCCACAGAGACAAGATAGTCTTTTTAACAGATGGTGTTGGGAAAACTAGATGTTCACATGTAAAAGAGTGAAGATGAACAAATATACAATATACAAAAATTAACTCAAAAATGGATCAAATACCTAGATGTAAGAGTCACAACTATAAAACTCCTAGAAGAAAACATAGGGGTAAGCTTCATGACATTGGATTAGTCAGTGATTTCTTGAGTATGATAATAAAAGCATCTCCAAGAAAATAAAATAGATAAACTGAAATATGTAAAACTTAAAAATTTATGTATCAAATAGCAAAATCAACAGAAAGAAAAGACAACTCATGAAATGGTAGAAAATATTTTCAAATTCTATATTGGATGAGGAGTTAATATCTATAATATATAAAATGAACTCCTACTACACAAAAATGAAAAAGCAAACAATCCAATTCAAAAACAGGCAAAGATCTTGAATAGATATTTCTCTAAAGAAGATATACAAATAGTCAATAAGCATATGAAAATATGTTCAACATCATTAACCACTAAGGAAATGAAAATCAAAACCACAATGAGATAGCATCTCACTCTCATTAGAATGGCTACCATCAGAAAAACAGAAAACAAGTATCAGCAATAATATGGAGAATTCTTATGCACTGTTAATAGGTGTATAGAATAGTCCAGTTGCT